CATTGTTCGTCCTTAGACAACAGGAACTTGAACGAATGCAGCAAGAGTATCTTCTGGCTCAGAATCGTAACCAAGTCAACCAAACGAAGACTGATGATAACTCCTCTACAACACCAACGATTTCGATGGATACTAACCCTGTGCCAGAACCTCAAAGTACAGTGCCAACTAAAAATAAGTTTGATATCCTTATTGAAGAACCAAACAATGAGACTGAAAACATCAAATCTCCTCCTATTTTTATACAAATTAGCCTGCAATGTGCGGATCATACTGTGCTAACTGACTTATTAAAATCTGTGAATATTTGTGCCTCAGACTTCTTAATCCAACTGGTTAACAAATCCCAGATTAAATTAACTCTTTTAAAAATTGAACACTACGATCAAGTGATATCCCTTCTTGGTGAAAAGTCGATTGAGTTCTATACATACCAAAAACCCCAAGACCGACCCTTTCGCGTTGTGCTACGTGGACTTCCCATTACTACCTCGAATTCTCAAATCACGGAATTTCTTAAAACCCATGGACATGAACCCGTTCGCATACACCTATTAAGGCACTGGAAAACAAAAGAGCCCATCCCCCTTCGTGAAATCGATTTAAAAAAAGCGCCCTCTAATAAATTCGTAATGAACATCAAATCTTTTTACTGTGAAAACCAACATTTTAAAATCTCCTTTGAATCCCCTCGCCCTAAAAAGCATGTAATTCAATGTTTAAACTGCCAGAAATATGGACATTCTCGAAACTTTTGTTCTCGTAAACCAGTTTGCGTCAAATGCGGTCAACCCCACAAATCAGATCTTTGTGACAAACCAAAAGAAGCCCCCCCCACCTGCGCCCTATGCGGTACCACCGGTCATACTGCGAACTATAAAGGCTGCTCCATTTATCAAGCGATTCGGAAAAAACGCCTCGCCGAAAGCAATACTGCTTTCATCAACCACCAACCCATTGCTCAAGTACAAATCGGCCCTAATCCAAAATCAAATAATGCTACCAGGACATACGCTTCCGTTACAGCTGCACCTAGAGGAGAAGACAAAATCACCCATTCATCAGATGTTATCAATCTCTTATTACAATCTCAATCTCAAATTAATCAATTAATTAATCAAATTTCCAATCTTTGTTCTCTCATAACTAAATTGCTCATGGCGCACGTTCATCCTTAATTGCCTGTTCCCTATTTTCAATATTCTTGTCTTTTCTAGAAATTTTGGCTCCTGTTGCTTGCGCTCGGCTGGGGGGTGTCCCGTCGCGCGTGGGTGCGGTGCCCCTCCCGTCGGCGGGGGGTCTCTCCCCCCTTTGCTTGGTGACAGTCAGTGCAGGTGCGTCAGCGCCTGCCGCGCAAAAGTAGTCAAGGTGACGGCCGGCTGTCGTCCGGGCTCTGGGGGTGGGGGGCCCCTGGCTGTATGGAGTGGGGGCTCGTCTTTCTCCCTGCGTGCGGGGGGTTGCGCTCTTGGCCGGGCGTGGGCTTCTGGAGTCATTTTTGTGAGACCTAGGTCTCTATTCTCTATGAATAATTAACTACTCTGTCGTTAATTTTTACTCCTTTAATTACTAGTAGAAGAAATGAATGTAATATCCATTGTGATAGTTTTCAATAAATTTATTAGAAAAAAAAAAAAAAAAAAAAAATAACTTTTGACAGAATCGCTCTAACTCCTTCAATTTTTGCAATATTGTCCCTCTCGGTCAAATAGAGGCCACATTCAAAGGGCTCAATAGCACTTACCGTTTACCCATAAACAGTCATTAACGTAAGTGCCTTACTTACGCTGTTTTCCACTAAACCGTTTTTTTAAGTTTCAATTTTTAGTTTCCTTGGTAACCCTGGTTTTTCATCATCTGATTGATATTTTGATTTTCGAATTTATCATTTTAATGGAGGCTACCTAACTTTTTTCGCACAAATGATGCGTTGTCATCATTTAATTTTTAAATTCCATCTTTCATCGTTCTTCTTTTCCTACTTTCATCTTTCACCTGGCCAAGTCATCTGTCTCTTTATTGTCTTTGTTTTTTTATTATGTTTATATTTAAATCTAATCACACATTGTAGCTTACAGGTTATGTTACATTTTTTTGTTTCCATTATTCAATCCTCCTCCTCCCTCCCTCTCATGTTTCTAGCAATTTTTCAGTTTTTTTTCCCAGGGGATGCCATGATGCCTGAATCCCCTGTCGCACGTTTTTTTCCTTTAGGTATGCAATACCCCTCACTTCAGAGGTTGTGTCGAGCTCCTTCCCCACAACAATAATTTTTAAACATTTGGAATTCTATTTTCCCCCATTTTAACTTTTTATTTTTATTTATCATTGCTACCATTCTCACTCATGCGTCTTGTGATCCATCTTGATAATATCGTAATAATTTTTATGAAATACTATATTTTTTAATAAAGCGAGATAAATCATTATAAAACGGGTAAAGGCATAGTAATTTAATATTTCAAGTGTTCCTCTTGCCCCCATTCTATAATTGTGCCCGGTTCAATTGTAATCCCCCCCCCATAAAAAATTTCCATGCTTCTGTCAATATTTATAAAAATAAATGTCGCTTTATGCAGATATTATTTATGAAATTTATTTACTTGATTATACTAACGAAACTCTCTACGTAAAAGAAAGAAGAAAGCGTGCGGGAAGAAAAAATAGAGAAAAGGGAAAAAATAGAAAAACATAAAAAAAAAATAAAAAACTTGATCTAAACGATCATAGTTTTTTGCCAAGATAAATCACGGAAACTCCATCAACTACTGAAATGATCAATATCGATATTTAAAGAGCATCTAGACCCGCGACTTCAGTCATGGGCTTTCCGCTAGTCATGAACATATATCCGTGATGTAAAATATTGTTAAAACTTCAAAACGTGATTATGTGTACCTATATTTTATGTTTTACAAAAGCTCTGATGATGGCGTAAGCCGAAAGGTATTTTAGCAAATAAAATTTCGATCACCACGACACCTTGGTTCGTTTTTCACCTTCATTACAAAATGATGTTGTTCTAATGGAACTCTTTTCATTCATTTTTGCCCTATTCTGAACTTTGACCGGCCGCCATTTAGTCAAAAATCAAGATTTTGAATCTCGGTTTGCGTTCCAATTTCTATTTTTTATCGTCTTTCGATGGATATTTTACAAAGGGGGGGGTTGCTATTTGAGAAAGAAAACTGGGGGTCGTTGTCCCTCCCCGTGGGGTGGGAGCCCATAGGTAGCTAACATTGATCTATGAACATCCCCAAAGTTTCGTTTCAAACTATGAATTAGTTAAAATTTTAGAGGGGGTGGAGGGGACTTTAGGGAGAGGGACTAGGGGAGTATAGACACGTCGGTAATTTTGAGGTTAGAGGATGGAGGTCTAAGAGCCGGATTTAGGTTTTTGCCGCCCCCCCCCTCCCCCCGGGCCCAGATATACGGTGACAGACTGTTATCCGATATCTAGGGATTTTTTGATGAGATACCTAAAAGAAAGTAAAAATCGACTCTTTTACCCTCAATTTTACCTTCGACTCGATAGATAATATTTTTCATCTATATTTTGCAGGGCTTATTGGAAACTCTATTTTTCCCGGACAATAAGTCGGAATATAAAACGATTGCGTCTCACTCAATATACTTGACAGTTCAACAGAATAAAGAAAAAACTCCTCAACCAATATCCTTTTACTTTGACTAGGGATTTTAGGGGTAAGATTAGTATGCTGTGGAGGATTAAGGATTTCATTGGGAAGGCAAGTAGAAAATTAGTCTATAATTCGTTAATCGGAGCTAAATTAAATTACTGTATTTCTCTTCTTGGAGAGGCAAGTAGTAAAGCGATTAGGGATTTACAAAAGGGACAGAATTCTGCCATGAGATATATGCTAGGGTGTGATTGGGGAAATAGAATAATTAATATGCTGGAGACTCTTGGCTGGCTATGCATGGAATTGCTGATAAAAGCCTGGATATTCATTTTCATATTTAGAATGAGGAAGGGATTGATTGATATAAGAGATAATGAGTTATTGGAGATATTAGATAGGAGAATGGGAAGGGATGTAGAGTTGAAATATGTATAATGATGTAAAGTATGTAGATAATATGCCATCATTTAAGGAACTGAGAGATTATACATTGTTCGGTTGTCAGCTAATGAAATTTCAAAGAGAAAATTGAGGAGATGGGGAACTTCTACCCAGATACTACAGGTGGTAGGAGTTTGGCCTGCAGATAGTAGTCCAGGGAAAAGAAAAAATTTAGATTAATAGTTTAGGGATTGTCTCAAATTGACGCAAGCAGATGGGATTAGCCCTTGAGGCCTAGTTAAATAAAACAAAAAAAAATTGGTCTGTTCAACACTTTTATGGGGCGGAAAAATTCAAAGAAACCAAGCAGATTTAAATATTGCAAATCGACACATCGAATGATGGTATTTTTAACAAAATCTAGGGATTTTTGTCTTCCCGACTGGGGATTTCATATCGGCTACATAATTTAATATCTTAATCGTCATCGATACACACTTATTGATTCATGCGATGCTAATGTGCACGAAATTATATAAGTTTCGGAAACACGGAAAAAGCGTCATCCGATTCTGCGATAGTTTGAACGATGCGCATTTGTGCAGGAGAGTGTTGCAAACAAATATCTAAGGAGTGGGAAATGATTTTTCAAGGAACAAGGATTTGTGATAAGTAAAAGGCAAACATATACATAGATTCTCATAGACTATATATGTTTGCAACATGACAAAACGTCGAAAAAAACTTTTACGGGGTAGTAGTAAAATAATTTTATTTTAAAGCGGGCCATTTGAAAGAAAGAAAGAAAGAAAAAAGTAGTAAAGAAAGAAAGAAGAAAGAAAGAAAGAAAGAAAGAAAGAAAGGAGGAAAGAAAGAAAACACCGTGTAAAGGGAGAGTACGGACTTGTCGAAATATGGACCTAACTCGAGGCTCAAATTATTCTTGATTAATGATTGATTTATTCCCAACTTGTGCAGATCGTTTTCGAAGGTGTTGCCAAAGAGTTACCTGACCCTTTCCGCAAGTTTCGAGGTTTTGTTGCTGTAGACAATGTGGCTTTAAAACCGGGATCGGAATGCCGAGGGCACTGCACCTTTGAGGGTGGTTTTTGCGGATGGACCAATGATGAGGAGGATGATTTTGATTGGTCACTGGTAAGCATTTTGATCAAGGTACCACTGCAAAGAATGGTACCTATCGAAGGTATTAGTGCATGAGAATAGTTTGCCCTAGATTTTTTACATTTTTTGAGAAATGATGGCTTTCAAAATTTCGTCTATCAATTAAAATACTTTAAAACTAGGGGGCTACGCTTCCTGGCCGCTACGCAGACCGCGGGTCAATAAGTAAAGTGGGCTCATCTGAGGATAATATCCAATCGATTACAAAAAGCTATTTTTCAAACTATAAAAGGAGATGAAGTATAAAACAATCAATAATATGTGCTCAGAATTATTGAGAAAGTCAATAATTATAGGTAATTTATAATTATTTTCGGCCTTATGTGGTGTAGTGGTTGTAGCGCTTGCTCTATGATCGTGAAGTCCCGGGTTCGATTCCCGGCCAAGTGACCCAAGTTTTATTGTCTCAAACAACGGTCATTTGGGGCTGGCTTGTTTAGGGACGAAGGGGGTATGAGCTTTTAGGGACGGTAATGCGTAAGACTATTCCTCGTGGGATATTTAAAGTGAAAAATAAGAAAAAAACTCTAAAATAAAAAAGAAAACATCTTTATTAAGAGTATCCCTGCTAAAAATGAGTGTACCTAATGTAAGCATATTGTTTGCAATGTGCTAGTATTAAATTTTCAAGCATAATACGAGTAACATAATGTTAGCAATAAGTCGGTGCTATATCAGCTATATGTGAGAATTAAGTTCAATAGTGATACACTGAATGATTATGTCCCAACCATGTGTGTTATATGTTAGCATTAAGTTGGTCATCATTATACTAGTATTACACTCCATATGGACTAAGTATATCTTATTTGTTGCCAAAAGCGATTATCTAAACTACGCAAGAAAATGAAATATATTGGTACAGGAAAATTGAAAATTAATAATATAATAATATCCCAGAATTATTGAGAAAGTCATTGACACTGATCAGATTTCTTGAGGAAGTCAATTATGTTGGTATTTATCAAATCCTGCAATAACACCCGTAAATTCAAGTTCATCCTGAAATTTTAAGAAAAATGAGTGCTTTCACTAAAATTACTTTTTTTATTTTTCTGTTACTGCTAAGGGGAATGCTGGGGCGTTAAAAAAATGGGCATGAAATAAAACTAAAAAAGCAAGGGCTCAGTGTACAAGGATGTTAAGAAAATTACTTCTTTGCAAGAATGTAGGTAATTCTCAAAAAAGAAACTGTCAGTAAGACCAACATTCTAACTTTTCTAACATGTTCAACATATTCAACATTCATAATTGTTAGCAGATGTATGAAGTAAAGAAGTGTTTTACTTTTTTATTTTCTCATTGGAAAAAAGGCATTTTAAACAAAAAATTCTACAATTTAAAACTCCATGTATTTAGAAAACATTAGCGTTTAGTGATTGAACAGATGCATATACACATGGCGATAAAACACGAAATTTCTCTCATTACCTATGAGACTGAACTTTAATCCTTATCTAAGTTATAATAGCACTCTGTAATGTAGGTACATACGAACGATCATTGCATTTCATGAGCTTACATTATTGACGTCAAAAGTATCCGATACGGAAACAAGAATTTTTTCAGCTTTATACTGCTGAGTGTATAACTGGTTCAGTGCCAGTGTAATGCTAGCATTACACTAATGAGTGTATAACTATGTGATGATTGTACATCAGTCATGGCCACCAGATGGCGCCGTGCTCTTCAATGTGCGATTCCCATTTTCTCTGGGCCCAAGCCTGTCTCGTATGAACGGTTTTTGTCTCGTTATTCTTCTCAATTGTTAAGGTGTTTATGATTGACTCCTAGAGATTTCACTTTTCTTTTAGTATTTATATTTGGGACGTTATAAGAGGTTAAAAGTTGCGCTCTCTTTTTCACAGCTTCATATCAATATACTTGGGTATACCCGAGAAATCTAACTCGTCAATGGTACCATTGGTACCCTTAACAAGATTGAACACAGCGTGTCCCACAAGTCTCAACGTGGAACAAGGGCGTAGGGAAGGTGGGGGTAAAAGGCCGCATTTTTCCGTTTCGGCCGTCTGTAGGCCGCCGTATCGCGTGAAAATTTCTAGAATGTGGTAAAACATGTGCTAAAGACCCTTAGGCACAAAATGGTACACTTTCCAGAATTTTAAAAGCATTTTCGAATTTTTTATGAATTTTTTCCCAAAATTTCGTAAGTGCGGCCTTTTGCCAAAAAAATGGGGAAAGAGGCCACACTTCCGGAAAAGTTCGTAAAAATTTCGGAAATGCATTCAAAATTCTATAAAGTGTGCCATTTCATGCCTAAGGGGCTATAGTTGATATTTTACCACATTTCCAGAATTTCCATGCGATACGGTGGCTAACAGACGGCCGCAACGGAAAAGTGTGACCTTTTGCCTCCACCTACCCTACATTTTAGGATCTTTGGTAATTATTAATAATATTTAGTAAAATATGTAGTAAAAGATTTAGTATTGGTAGTATAAGTTGATAGATAAAGTATGAGTGCTATTTTAGTGAAGGCTGCATGCGGCCTTTTGCCCCATCGGACCTGCGGCTTTTTGCCCCATTTGATGACGTAGGTAACCATAACCTAAATTCAAAGACAAGGCCATTAGCCGAAAAGTGACGGCGGGATATTCAAACCATCCTTATCATTGTTCGAACTGCAGCTCGTCTGAATTTTTCTATCAATTATAAAACTTGAAATTGACCAAAATAAAACTGGAAAAATCGATTTTTTTTCACCAAAAATTAACTCTCCTCATATTTTCGAGGGAACGCGTCCGTTCGGTCCGAAACTTCGTCAACACAACATCACCACCACTACCAACATAGGTAACTAACACGGTCCCGGTACCAACCTAAAAAATTTTCGGGAAAAAAGTCGGGTGCGGCCTTTTTCCCCGTGCGGCCTTTTACTCCCACCTACCCTAAGGTGTCCTTGAACTCTCTCCGCGGCCTCAGCGCCACCCCCGCGGGACCGTCTTTTTAAGGGTGACAGTGCATTGTTATTTAGGAATGTGCTAGCTAGCATAGTGCTAAAGCGCAGATAGTGAAGTGTCAAGATGAGACTACTGAGTGTAGAATTAGTATAATGCCAGTGCAATGCTAGCATTACATTCGTGCGTGTATAGCCAGTAGAATGCTAGCATTATACTCGTGAGTGTATAACTAGTGTAATGCTAGCATAATGCAATTCTGTGTGCAAATCACATTAAGTACCTACCATTGATTGACAATCCAGGGAAGGAAGTTTTGCCCGTAGGTACATTATCCTTGTATCTGAGCTGAATAATAGACTTTAATGGCTTTCTTTGATTGTCCACTCATTTTCTGTGAATTCCGTAAGTACTCAGCTCATAAACATTCCTGTCAAAACTTTATAGGTATTTGTTTCATTCCCGTGTGGTGTGGTTTTGAATTTTCAGGGAAGAGGTAGTGAGAACCCGTCCACTGGTCCAGCCACAGACCGATCCAGCTTCATTTATGGTGGCATCGAAGGCGGCTACGCATATATTGATTCTTCTTATCCGCGAAGACCAGGAGATATTGCTCGGCTGTCTAGTATGGAATTTGATCCTACCGGTAATTGCTTACTTTACCAATCACTCAGGAAAATCTCATCATAGTTTTAGTTGAAATTGGTGAAAAATTAATTTGAATATCCTTTTAATGCTGAGGTCCAAAAGTTCTGGTACCTAAGTACTTCTTTGTATTTTTTCATTCAAATTATACATACCTTCACTATAAATGTATAAAGATTCGCAAATATTTTTTTAATTTTTACTCAAATCTTAGTTTCCAATCGTAGGTATTGTTACTGCACCAACATCCTTCTACTGTGAATTCATTTTCGAGACTGTAATATTGATTATTTTAGAATATCCCTTTACTGCATCCGCGTTGCCATCTGGCACGGCCATTATGTAATTCAAAGTAAATTCTGGAATGATCATATTGGTACCCCGTGTAGATTCTACGGAACTTAACAACGTTGCCAACCTAAAAAAATAGTGATGGGGGGACTGGAGATGCTGAATTGACTATATAATCCTGTTTTTTTAACGGAGCCATTTTTAAGGAGTAGCCGCGAGTATCCCAACTTTGAAGAATGTTTTGAATGACTTAGCTTGCCTTTAGAGACGGGGAAAAAATCATAGTCATTGCCTACACTATCTAGATTAATAATTTCCTGGACTGATGAGGAAAAAAATTATTTTAATATTATTTTCGGCTCATAAACGGCGGGGTGTCATATGGCAACAACATACTGGCTCTTGTCTCTACTTATAGCCCTTGTGCGGGCCATGGGACGCAGTAGAGGTAAGTCGCCGAGTGTGGCCATTCTCTGTCAGGCGCTCAGGGCGGCTATTTTTAGTGGCCCGCCAACGCGCGTTTTAAAGGGGGCTCAAAATACGCAACTTTGAGCTCGTTGCTCGTGGGTTAGGTAATATTATTAAAAACAATCTGTGGAAATTTCTGTGAACTCTCTGCACCCTCGGGTTCACAAACATGCAAGAATAAAACATTACTAAGCAAGCTCAGTAGGTAAACAAGCAGTGAACTCCGACACAATGTGTTAATAAGGCGCGTCATTAACTCGCACATATCAACCCCTTTAGTTTTCATTTACAGAGATTTCAAAATAGGCAAGTAGCACAGCAAGAGAATTTATACGATCCAACACTGCGAGGTCAACGACGTACTTTGACGAGACCTTGTATTGTGAATGTAGAAAGCCATTCGAACGAGTTTAAGTTTTTTGATCTGCCCTCAGCAAAATCTAATCAGATTCTTAAAGAAAAGTGCTACGTAATAATTTAAGCGAGGAAAAGGAAAAATTCTGTCGAACTCCTGAAAGATAAAGTCGATTTAAAGGTATTTTGCGGCTAAAATATCCAAATCACCGGTATTATAAATCCCGTTATATTATTGAAAAGAAATTGACTCAATATAAATGCAATTGAAATATGTCTTGATTTTCTTATTTTAAACGTATTTCCATGCAAAGAAGTTCAACCATGCCCATGCTTTATTCATTCATGAATTGAAAGTAAGCAATCTACATCCCGAAAATCTACTGATCTGCCGAAAAAAAATTGCAGAAACTTGATATACCAACCAGGTCGATGCACCTAGGTACTCGTTGAATTTGCCAACCAATTTCGTGAGTGTAAATATGTAAAAATCAATATGCTATAGTCATTTTGGGTGCGTTTATTTTTCATGAAACAATAATAATTTTAATCCCGAAAAACCATCAATTTTCCGTATAAAATCGAAAAAAGCGAAATGCCTCGCGACTCCCTGACGTGAAATTAGATTCTACGTGTAAAAATACTTACATAACGATATGCTGAACAGAAACCATGTGTGGGCACAGTTAGCAGTCCGCGGCAACATCAATTCAACAGAATAACGGCAAAAATTAGATCGGATTTTGGCCGCTTTGCCTGCCTCTCCTCGTTATTTACAAACCATTCCTATACTCATCTCAAAACTTTTTTCAGAGCTTTGCGTTATTATCAGCTTCCATTTAAATCCCAGTTCGATTACCGAATCGGCTGCTCAAAGAGCAAGCAATTTTTGAAAGGTTCTATGAGAAATTCGTGATATTATCGGCTCTCAGGAAACACCCATGGCTAAAATTGGTGGTATAAATGTTTGAGTGCTTAAAATAATCGTATTTTAAGAAACTAAGGCATTAAACTATGGAGTCAATTTCGTTTTAATAATATAACGGGATTTACTCCCGGTGATTTAGCTATTATAGCCCCAGAATACTTTTAAAGCGTCTTTACTTTCCAGAATCTTGACGGAATTTTTTTTTGTTGGCTTAAACGACTGAAGAGACACTGTAGTTAAAAAATATAGGTAAAGAATTTTAGATTTTGACAAAAAAAAAAAAAAAAAAAAAAAATGTATTCGTTCAGGCACACCGTGTATTGTATGAAGTACCGCTGCTTATCAACCCTTGTCCTCAGGTCAAAATTCTTACAAGGAAGCCCCTTGCAAGAGGCGAATTTTTTGTAATTTCTCCCAATTTTTTCTCAGTTATATAATTGAATTGCTTGTCAAATTCTGAGATCAATTATATTTTAATTGTAATTTAAACATTTCTTTTTTCCCCTCTATTTTATTTTTTGTATGGAGAAGTTTTGTTGATTTCTTCGGATTTCGAATACTGTAACTTCTCTTCTGTTCGGCCGATTTTTATGAATGAGACCTCTTTTAATTCGTCTTTTAACGGAGAGTAAGGAAGAAATTGCTAAATACACGCGAAACAATTTTTTTGAAAATTCGGTGGATCCCAGCGTGACGGCGAAATGGGTAATGAGTGAAAGTAATTAGGTCCGACTGCGGCGAGGGTCGTCTTTTGTTCTTCAGCTAGGAAGTCACGCGGCGAACCTAGCCACGATTGGGACACTGCCTGGGTTTGTGCCTGCTTGTGCACTGTTTTGGCCTGATAGGGGAGTGAATTTCTGTATGGGCCACGGTTAGCACATGGTCTAAAGAGTCTCGAGGCTCATCACAGATTGCACTTACGGCTATCCTGGCTGGCCCTGGCTATCAGAGCAGTGGTACCAAATTTTGAAAAGCATAACACGGGTGTAGATATCTGTCAATGCAACGTTTTAAACAAAACGGAGGAGTATAATTCTCATTCGAAGAGTGCTGAACTGCTCAGCAATCCTAGAATCAGGTTGTTTGCTTCTGCTTATATGTGCATATTTTAAATTAGCGCGGAGCATTCTTAGGTTTTTTTTAAAAAAAACCGACTAACGTAGACTCTCTGTATTCATTACACATAAACTAGAAAGCCCCAGAATGACAAAAAATTTAAATCATAATTATTGACGGATTAGTAAACTTTTTACACGCTTTGGAAAATCTCAGAAGTTCGCGGCAGTCTATTTCCGGTAAGGAACTAAGGGACTCGGTTATTGTAAGGGGGGGGGGTCGAAACGATCGCAAAGGCTGTATACTACGTATACGCGCCAAAAGTTAATGGGGTGGAAGGGACTTTTGAATCACCCTTTATAGGAAGAATGTATTTCATTTGTGGCGTTTTTAATTTTCTTCTTTATTCTTATTAGGAGGATCCTCTGCTTAAAATGACCATGTTGGTAACAAGTTGGTCCGGCCCGACATGGTAGCAACAGGGTGAATGGAACCTGTTATCATATATGATATCAACATGTTCTTACCATGATATCAACATGTTACCAATATGATATCACACACTGAAAAAAAGAGTTCCAAAATGCCAAAATGCTACAATTTAGGCGTGCTGCACATTCTTAGGCTTAATTTTCATCGCGGACACCAGCGAAGTGACGCTGAGAACCCGACAATCAGTGTTCGCCAGAATTAAGCCGCGCTGCGCCCGAGTTCCTAAGCGGTCACCCATCAGAGTACTAACTACGCCCGACGTTGCTGAACTTCGGTGATCGCCCGAGTGTCGCTGCCACTCCGCCACGGACGCTCGCGTGGGGGAGATGGCTAATTTAGCACTAATAAACGTCCTCAGATCTGGTTCAATGATTAGAAGCAATGATATTCTTGCAATTCTGTACATCATTCAGTTTCACAATGAAGGATACGAAAATAATATAAATTAGATCAAGCTTTAGAAAGAGAGGAGTACGAACAACACATGAAAAAAATGAAATAAAATATGGACGGATAAATAGTTATTAAAAATGAAAATATGAAAAACGAAATAAGATAAATAAATAATATAAATTGATGAAAATGAATAATATTATTAATAATTTACTATAATACATTATAATTTATTTTATATATATAATGGTTTATCAAATTAATAATATAAATTCTTAATATTATTTAATAATTTTTATAATTACTTCCTGGTCCCATCTTAATTGAGCAACTTTCTTTTGACTTAAAGCCGCAGATATAAATGAATTTTATTCAATGCACACATGAGTTTTGAAAGTAAAATAGATTAAAAATGTCTAAAGGAAAATTTACTCATAGAAAAAATATCAACATGGATTTCAAAAATTAATAAGGCCACAAAGGCAAGAATAAGAAAGCCGTATTTGAACATATCTATGGGTCAACACGTACAATAATAAGACGGCAACCGAACGTTTTCGACTTTCTCCGAATATATGCTGAAAGTTCGGTGCGAATAACCGAATGATTGGTTTCCGTGACCTTAAAAGATCGGTAAAACCTTACCGAACTCGGTTGGTCGTGTGTTTAAAACGCCGTAATGCCGTTTGGTTAAAAAAACCCAATACTTAGGTTTGTGCCACCGAACAACCGTATACCGAAGGGTTCGGTAAAAATCACCGAACTTTTTTTTCAGTGCAATGATATCAGTATTTTCCCATGATGGGGCCAACAGATATTAACCTTTACGTAAACTCTTTATCATAATGGTAAGAAAGTCCAAATTGATATAATCATGTTACCATATTTGTGCAATGTTGTTGACAACCTTTTTTTTAATCATGTCTATATCATATTGGGATTTGCCATAATGCAAGCATGTTGGTATCATGTTGGTCTTTTATCCCAAGTTGATATCACGTTGATACCATGTTGACATCATCTTGATAGCAACATGGGCGTTTTAGACCCTGTTATGGTAACAACCTGGTCTCAACATGTTACCAACATGGTCATTTTCAGCAGGGTTACTGGAAATTTTTGCCCGAAAATCAGCAGAGAATATTCTTAAATGAGCGAAAAAAATCCTCGGAAATTTTCTGCAACGACAATAGTACGAGTAATTTGTCATCCTTCAAAAGAGTAATGCGTGATAGGAAATCTATCAACGCAAAGGTTACACTCTAAGGTACACGGTGTGTTAGTTTCATCACCGATACACCTATACAGACAATTTTCTCTGAAAAATTTAATTTTCTTCTGATCACAAGTATATGTTTGTGATGAGTCCGAACCAAATGTCAGCTGAGAGAGAGATCTGAGCATTTGAATTATAATCATAAATACATGACTTTTGTCATGAAGCCCCCAACTTTTTAGCGTCTAAGTGCTATGTTGCTCCAGGACCCGATACACCAATATGCATGAGATTTTGGACACACATGTTTGGCAATGGCATCGGAACCTTAACCATTACCATCAGCGATAGGAGGGAGGGGCAGGACAGGGATATATGGAGTTTGTCTGGAGAGGCTGGTAACGGATGGTACCAAGCAGAAGTTCCCGTCTCCTCTACAAATCCTTTCAGGGTAAGAGATTTCAACATGTACCTTAGGGGTGAGCAAAATTCCCTACTTGTGCGCCGAACAATTCCATTAGGGGGAAAAGTGGGCAAATTGCATGTAGATTACGAGAAAAATTGTCGCAGGCGTACTTCGAACGGGAAATGCTCAAGCCCTTGCATCATGAAGTTGCCGAGAAGATCAGGTTTTCTTTTCCTGTCGCGGGAGGTGCCTTTAAACACGCAATTCCATCATCAAACACATCGTTTTACTTGATCGAAATATCGATTTTTCATTCGATTACTGGAAAAATTTGGAAGTAAATGAATCAACTTCTAGTAATAAATGATATACAGGGTTATCCAAAAGTCACTGACCACCCCTGTGACTTTTTCCCTAATTGAGATAGAAGTTTGAAACTTTGGCAATGTTCCTCGGTCTGAAGTAGCAACTTTTCGGTCCCCCCAAAATTTAGGGGGCGGCCCTCCCCCTAAGGGGGGCGGGGGCTAACTTTTTTTTTCAAATGGCGACCCACCCCCCTTTGTGATACCTCATTCGAAAGATAATAAAAAAAGAAAATGTTTGGTGCAAACCGCAGGTCAAAATGTTGAGTTTTGACAAAATGGCGGCCGGTCAAAGTTCAAAATGGCGGAAATCTGACATCTCCGTTGTGTATTGACGGATTGAACTCGACACGAGAAGAACGAATCTTTCATTGGATATCTAAAATTCTGTCAAATTTCAAGATGGCGGGAAATCAGTTTTACGGCTGTTTACCGATGGATTTGCATGAAATTCGATATCCTGGTGGTTTTTGGCTCGATAAAAGGAAATCTTTCATTAGATTCTTGAAATACTGAATAATCGATATCGATATCGAAACAAACTTCAAAATTCGGCTCGTAATTTTTTTTAAAACAATATCAAAATCAATATTTGGTTTATTCATTTCATGGCATACCTACTCGAATCACTATAATAGAAAATTTTAAAACATTTCATGAAATTTCATTTTATAAAATTTTATTAAAAGCTTATTTCTGCCTATAAATGTAAGTCTTCCATGTGACCAAAACCTTTGACTCCAACTTTACTTTCTATATTCAAGGCGGTGCTGTTTTCATGTAAATTCATGCTAATTGTACAGGGTGGCGTGTATGAAATTTAAAATTTTTATGTAGGTGTACTTACAATATTTCCGGTGATTCCCAAAAAAATGACAAATCTATTCCAACTTGTTAATTAACAGACTTTGCTGAATAGTTAACAAAACGTTGCGAATATTATTCGAAGGAATTCTTTCACAGTTTCTTATCACATAATCAGGTCCGCCACATCCCACCTCGGGCCCTGGTACCAGTTTCAAGGCCCAGGCCCCCAGCACAGAAGGGGGTCTGCGGGGACTTCTCAAGGAAATTTTTGACATTTTCAATCTATCTGGACGCATATTGAAGCTCCCATGACAGAGATTTTCCATAAATTTCTGCAGAATAATTACGCCTATTTTTTACTTTCTGTACAAAATACCTACTTTCGAATTATTGCATTCAAAACACCTGGAATTTTTTTTCTTGGGGGGGGGGCATATGATACTATTTTCAATTCTAGGAGGAGAAGGAGCTCAGGTCCCTCTGGATTCCTCTTTCGTAAATTCATGGCAAGGGAGTTTAGCCATTGAAGTCTAGGATGCCCAGACTGGAGACTCTGAGCATCCGACGACGGAAGAAAATGAAACGTAGTTACTGAAAATATCATTCTATACTAGAAATCTTGAAAAGAGATAGAAACCTTTAAAGAAGAAAGAAGAATTATAAAGTTCCCCAGCGTGTCTTTGAAAATTTATTCACCTTTTGCGAAATTTTTAGGGTAAATTTTTCACTTTTTCTTACGAGACAAGGGTTATGTGAATTCGTAGTGCTTTTTCACCGGCGGCACGCCCCCTCCCCCCGCGATACCAGGGACCCAGTATCCCCCCCCCCCTTGTGGCGGGCCTGCACATAATTGTGTTTCATGTAGAGAAAAATAAAGAATAGGTAGCTCAGAGCTATAACTGAAGAAGTTGGATTTTTTTGTCAATTAGGTTTACTGCGGATTGCATATCCCACCCCTGAAATGAATGTTTCGTATGTTACAAAAATTTCACAGCCGTACAAAGTTTCATGAAATATTTCACGGAAATTTCCAATCTTCTATTAGGGGTCGATCATAAACTACGTCACCCAATTTAGGGGGTAGATGGATATAGCGGTGGAGGACGGTGGGCGATGGGGAGGAAAGGGGGGATCGAGCCAAAGATGAAGTGAGCTTCCCCGAGGGCAAAAGGACTGAAAATATTTGCTTAAAATTTGAGAGGGGATTTTTTTTTCCTTCCAACGAATACTTTCAATTTATCTCAAATCAGTTGAATTTAGGAAATTATAACGGAAAGTCGAAAGCCAACGCACAGTATAAATAAGTTAGGTTACAAGTGAAACGTGGGCCATCCTATAAAATAGCCCGCGACTCTGCTAATTGCAGGTGCTATTTTATAGGATGGCACAAACGGTTGCGGAGTAGAAAGTAACGGATTCTATGTTCCCTTTTTTTGGGGTAAGGACAAGGCAATTAACATCGTGAAATTCGAGACCGTTTCATAACTCGATCTATAGACATATCGATTTGGGCGCATCAACAAAGTTTCGACCTAATCCCTCGGTCCCGTTGGATTTTTGGAGGTAATGCCGTTGAAGGTAATGTCCTGTCCCCCTTTGGGATACTTCGTCCAAAAAAAGTGATGTTTTGTGTAAATCCCAAGAAACTTTGGTTTATCAATACAGGCCTTCGATAAATCGCAATTTTAACGTTAAAAATAGATTTCCTGTGAAGAAATAAGTACCAAGTGTGACGAATTTGAAATTGGCCTTACGTTTCGTTTCAATTCTGTAAGTCTAACAGAGCTTCAGCTACGCCCGTTTTCGTGAAGGTCGATTTTATCGAAATTAAGTTGCAAACCTCAGATGCCCCCACGGATACGAGAATGGTCAAAAAAGTTGAAAAATGGTTTTTGTGCTTTTAAGTATTGGATCGATTAACAAACAACGAAATTATAAAACAAGGATCAGGGTTGGTCGAGCAACAGTCCCTGGACGATTTCGCGTAGAATGTCCCATTTGGCTGTGAGTGGGCGATGTCGGCAGGCCTCGGCAATACCGTTCCCAGCATCGGGGGGTCGATCCCACCCGACGAAGCCACGTTAAGCCCGTATCTGGATGTCCCTGAGACGACCGACCCCCGACCCAAGGCCTTACGCGACGGGCTAAACCCCCACCGACAGCTCTACCCGGCGTTTCACCGGGGACCTGCCCGGCGGCGGCTTCGGAGAAGTGACGGCGTCAACGACGATCAGCGAGCTTCCCCGATAACCCCTCGGCGACGAGTCCGAGCCCGGAGCCGTAGAGACCTCCGTCTCTACACACACAGAGACCGCCGTCGTATCACAGAGATTGCGCGGTGTAAGGCTCCGGGCTGTGAGCCTCGGCTTGTCAGCGGTCCGCCATGAGGCGTCCTACGCCCACCCGACAGGCTCGCTCCGTTGTGATCGACTCGGGACACATTCCTGCGGGCCTGTCTGGTGGACCCGCTTCGGGACTTGGCGGTTCCCCCCCCCCCCGNGTCGTTGCCCCGGCAAGTCAGCGACCCGCGTCACAGGGCCGCCCGCCGCCGAGCGCTCGTAGTCAAGAAAAGCGGGGCATCAGAGGCCCACGTCCGGCAACCAGTTAAGATCCGTATAACGTCATTGCGATCACGTCTCGGAGTTGGAGACTCCTTGGGGAGAAGCCCGGCCCGGCCGTCGGTTGACGCCGTCGGCCGGGTGAGACTAGTCGCCGGTTGGGCACGGCCCACCAAGTGGTCCTGGCTCGACCCGCGGCCAGCGCGCCGTGAGCTGCGATCCGCCTTACGCCCAAACCACAGGGCAGAGACGGACCCCATTCGGCGTCGAACTCTGTTCGGGTCTTCGGCCCAGAGCGAATCATGGACTGTCGCGACTCGGCGCACCGAGCCACGGTCGCTGCTAGGACCGGACCAGGACGACCAGAGGGTCCGTCGTCCGTGCCTTTTGCCCACTGCTCTGGAAAACGGGCGGTCTTGCAATCTCAGCGGCCATGAGGGAGCCTGGTGAACCAGGCACGGCTGCCCCCCGCATCGGAGGTAAGTCATTATCAGCCGACCCCCGCAGGCGGTATACCGATGGGATCCCTCTGCCCGCGAGGCGCTGAGTGGCCACTCACGGCGCCACAGTTGGTGGGTGAGTCGGATGTACGCCTTCCGACTCGCCGGTGAACCGCCGTGGGTGGCGGATCGGCCACGCGGTTTAGTGCGGGCCGAGGCGGCCGGCCCCTTCTGCCTGGCACGCTTCGGCACTTAGAGTTATTATTGATCGGCAGAGCATTGTCGACCCGATCGGGGTTACCCCTTTAATCGGCATCGACGACGTCACGGCGCTCGTTGAAGGGGGCGAGAAGGGCCGGGTCTACCTTGTGGCCGAGGAGGCGCCCCACTCGTGAGAGGGGGCACACCGAGACGTCCGCGCCGACCGCCTCCGATAACGCAGTCCGCGCCATTTCGAAATGGGGGCACGCTCAAATTCGGTGCTCGGCGGAGTCCCGCTGGCCCGGACAGTCCCGGCACATTTCCCTTGCGCCGTCGCCCTGGCCGATCCGCAACAACTGCTGGCCGAAGTTCCCGTGTCCGGCCAGCACCACTACGGTATCTCGTTCCCATGTGCCTTTCGCCTTTAGGCGGACCTGAACGCTGGGGAAGAAGGAGCGCGTGGTAGGTCCCTTCGAGGAGCTTTGTCAGCGGGCGTTCCACTGCCGCAGGATCCTCTTTCGGAGAGCCAACCTGAGTTGGCCGGCCGACTCGTACTCCGCGTCGAATTCCTCCTGCCTGACCTGGACCACCTCGCCCCGGGCAAACTTAGTTAGCTCGGCCCGGTTTCTGACGAGCAAGTCCATCGGTGGGATCCCCGCCAGGACCTCCAAGGCGTCTCGCAACACGCTTTTCCACGCCGCGGTCGCGAGGATAAGGCCTTGCCGGCTGGCCCGTCTGATCGTTTCGGCGGGCCGTTTGCAGGTGAGCCTCTCGGCCCAGACCTCGGCCGCGTACTCGATGCGAATTCAGTTTGAAAACTCGTATAAATCGTACCTTAGTTGTTGATATTTCTACGTACTTTAAGCAAACTTCCTTTCACCACACCCGTTATCAGATTTCGAAAAAATGTTTTTTCACTCCACCCTGGACTGACGGGCCATACCGAAACGCGGTCGCCGCGACGCGCGACACCGAATATCCTGGCATCCCGGCAACTCTCTAGTGCCCAAACTGAAAAATGGTCGGTATATATACTCTGCTTTGAGGGTCGGTGTTGAGTGTATAAAAGTGTATGTGAGCTCTATTTTACGTATGCATTGAACCATTGCCTATATATCACCAATTATTAGAATTTGATTCAATTAATGCTAATAACAATTACCTAATTTTTCTGAGAAATTGAATGAAGAATCGCTATCGATCAAATTAAACGATAATGTACCGTTTTGAAAATCAGTAAACTCGATTTTTCGTGAAAAATACTAAGGAAAACATGTGTTTGATGATGAACTCTAGTGTTTGAGGGCACCTGCGGCGACTCGAATGAGAAAATCTGATTTTTTTTCCGGCAGTTTAACGATGCAAATATTCGAGGGGCTTGAGCACCATTTTCCCGTTGGAATTACGGCTGCGGACAATTTGTTTCGTAGGTAATCTACATGCAATTCGCCCCTTCCCCCCTCCCCAATTTTGTTCAGCGGTATTGTTTAGCGCTCAAGTCGGGAATTTCGCTCACCCCTAATGCACCTACATATTGCCTTTTTTTTAGATGCAAGACACTACAGTTCAAGTGAAAAGTAGGTAAGTATTTGAACGAATAAGTAAATTACGAACGACTTTAGATGATGCAAATCTTTGAAAACTGATTCTCTGATCGAAATCTTTACGTGTAGGTTAAACATTATGTTTAAGTGGGAAAAAATGGAACAAGGATAGGTACCTATTCTGAATTTGAGATCAGAATCGCTAAAATTTTGAAAACTCAAACATCCTCAAATCACTTATTTCCTCAGGTGACGTTTAGGAGGGTGCAGCAGACCCCTCCAAAACTTCGTTTGCACAAAAAAACGACATAGGTAAGAAAAGTTTGAGTTTTCTCATTTTCAACAATCCCAATTCCAATTTTAAGTGTACCTTCCTTATTTTTCTAGCATTGTTTTGCTATTATTTTAAATATACCCCAATTTGCCGATCGTTAAGTTCAATAAATAAATTAACAGACTTGCAATCGAACAAAAGATTAATTCATTCCAACTCACAAATACTACGGAAATGACGAAACTTGGAAGTACGTCATTCTCGGCGGCAGCTGGTACCTAACCTGTAAAAGGTCTTTTATATCGCGCATGCGCAATATTATTCCAAATGTGGCGCATTACTCTGTTTACCAACCTAAATCTCTGAGACCACAATTCAACATTACAACACCGGACTTTCCCAACTTAATTACTTGACGATGCAAAAAAAAAAAAAAAACCATGTTAAAAGGGCATAACTTAATGTGAAGCATCTAAAGTAGATAAAGACGCAGTGTTTTGTCGCACTGTATCCGTTCCCAAGTTCTGTGACGTCTTTGTAGGACGTCGCAAGGTCCTGTGTGCAAATCCCATGAATATAGTATACTGTGATGCTCCACTGTGGTGGACTGCAGTCACATATGGGCCCGTAACATTTTTCTTGAAGCTCTATGATGATCCACGAGACAACGTGAGAGAGAGGTCCCACGAGAACACATACGAGTCTCAATAGTCACATATACACTCTCATGTGAGCACACGGGTCACATGTCGGCTCTCAGGGGAGCACACGGGTCACATATTAGCTCCTAGGGGAGCTCACCGGCTCCCCTGTCCATTCCCCAGGGGAGCACATGTGATGTCGTGTCATTGCCCTGAGAGCACATGTGATCACATGCCATTCCCCTGGCAGCGCATGTGACCACATGCCATTCCCGTGAGAGCGCATGTGATCACATGTCATTCCCATCCCAAATGTCATTTCTCAACGAAAAAATCGCTATATACATACTGCAATTTTATCAATCACCAGAATTATCAACTTCTAAGCGATTATCCACGATCTCATCGCAATAAAATCGCGCTTTTATCGCCCTACAATTTATCGCGATATTTTCGAGATAAAATCGCGATAAATGGCGATTTAATCTCTATTTGATCGACGAATATTGTTTACGATTTTTTCGAACCAAAACTTGCGATGTGTCGCGACTTAATCGCCATATATCGCAATTTTCAATGCGATAATATCTCGATATATTGCCACCTTTATAAGCGCGAAAACCAACCGATAAAATCGCTATTTATCGCAATCACTGCTACTTATAATAGGATGAGAAATTTTTAGCAGGGATTCGCTGTTATGCGTCTCGGTCTTGCAATAAAAGCGAATTAATGACTCATTTTTATTTATATTTAAATCATTTCCATTTATTTCTGCATCTTTGCATCCTGTGTATGAATTCGTCGTGATAAATAACTGCATCTCAGGGACGTGGCGCGTCCGACCAACACACCAGAAGCTCCCTCCTAACGCCTTACGCTTTTGCTGTTCACATCTTAAGTCATTGTTGAATGATTTTGTATCATACTTTACTTATTTTTTTCAGATAGTTCTCGTTGGGAAAGTTGGTAAAAACAATCTAGGTGATATCGCTGTTGACGATATCTCCCTGACGCCTGGTGCTTGCCCAAGTAAGAAATATTCACGTACTCCTTAAGTAAAATAACCTGGCAAACGAATGAGGTTGTTCCAAAAGCGCCGATTTGGCTCCACCCCTCTGTATTTGACCCAAACTTCGCTCAGATGCTGTGCTAGGTGCCCTCTATTTCAGGGCGAAACAACCCTCGCGGCTAATTCCGGGGAGGAATTATCCTGGGGGGGAGGGGGGAAATTGCCATTTTCACAATGTTTTAAAAATCGGTATATCGGTAGAACGGTTTGAGTCTAAGTGTCGCAGTTTGCGCTTAAAAAACGTCAATAAATATTCCCTACAAGAATTAAGCTGTTTTGGTAGTTCCCAGGTAACATCGGACGTTTCAAGGACGTAGATATCTAGGTTTACCATGTAACGTTCCAAAAACGTTCCGACTTCTACGTTGAAATTCACGTCGTCCAATGTATGGTGCAATAACGTTTCGCTGTCGACGTTGCCGGGACGTATATGTATAGAACTTCGCGTGGTCCAAAACATGTCGCATGAGTGTTTCAGGAAAATTAGTGTCGATTCACAAAATGTATTGTCCCGTCTCGTGTCGCCCCCTAGCGGCGAAGAACGGAACCTCGCAGTGTGTGCGCATCGTTCATCGTGGTTCATATGTCGCGATCCGATCATGTTCGATTTGTCTGAATAAACCATGTTTCTTTGCACAGTCAATCAGTCATTTGTCATTGTCATTGTTTTTCATCACACTCAACATTACATGGCGCAGTCGTTCGCGGTCGCGAGTTTAAAGTGATCGTCCGTGAAGCCGAAAAGCGTGAGTGTCAATCCACGTGATGGCGTCGAGCCTAAAACCGCCAAAGCCGCTCGTGCTGACTGGTAACCTATCCCAAAACTGGAAAACGTTTAGACAGGAATTTGAGCTCTATCTGACGGCCTCTGGCCAACGGAAACGTAAAAGTGGTGAAAAAGTAGCTTTGCTTCTTCACATAATTGGTGCCGATTCTCGTGAAGTGTACTACACGCTGGGAAGCACAGGCACTGAAGATGAAAGTGAGGGTGAGGAAACGCTCGAAACATTGTATGATAAGTTCGAGAAATATTGTAATCCCAAGAAGAACATCCTCCACGCACGTTCCCTTTTCTACTCACGAAACCAAAAGGTAGGGGAATCCTTCGACAGTTTTTATAATGACCTCAAAAAACTGGCTAAAGATAGCGAGTTTGAAAACATCAAAAGTAGTCTGAGAGACCGTCTAGTATTTGGCTCAAACGACACACTATGGTCCACAGACCCTATTTAACGGAACTTTAGTCAAATTTTGAAGGTGGGAAAAATTAAAGTTTGGCACTACAGTTTTATCATACATACTCCCATGGATCGTCACCTAAGTTTTCATCGACTAATAATGATTTATAAGATTGTGACGGACCCTAACAACAGAGCGCGCGACAGGTCTTCATTAGCTGATTGTGGGCCGCATTCGGTGGTGCGTTACAAGGTGTTTATTTTACCGAGTTACGCATCATCTATGTAAATTTTTGGGCAACATGGTTCCACCTGGTGGCAAGTGACTTCCTTTTCACCCAGTTTCATTAATTTTGAACTGAAATTTGTATGCTTTTTAATGCTGCAAACATACGCCAAAAAATGATAGAAATCAGTGAAATTCGTAATTTTTAGGAAGCTCCAACTTTTTTTTAATTCTAGTTAATGCTTTGCGGATCGAAAAATCTTGTTCTACGTATCCTTAAGTTTAAAATGAGGCCAATTTAAATGTCGCCTTTTGTCGCCTAATGGTCGAAATGAATTTTTTTCGGAGTGCACCTCCGTGCATCAAAATGTGGAATATTCCATGCATTTTTGGCGTTTTTGCGACTGTTAAATTTTTTATCGGTACGAAATGAAAGTATTCCGATATATTTTGATCTACTGAGTCCAAAAATGACCTTGGTTTTTTTTTATAACCTCTCACTTTTCCGAAAAAGCGACTTTTTCCCGGGAAAATGAGCAAATTTGACGTATTTTTGCTATAATTGCAATTCATGTTGATAAATTATACTGGACCCGCGGTAAAGAGATTCTGTTATGTATATTAAGCTGCTAAATCCGAATATGACCGAGGTTTTTTTTATCACCCTCCAGTTCTCCGATAATGCCGATTTTCCCGAGCCTTTTGGGTAAAACCTTTTCCGGACTCTAAGTGTGTTAAAAATACATTTTAAAAATGATTTCGATATACGATACATCGATTCTTATGCATTCTGACTTGCTAAACCCGAATATGGCCTTAGATTTTTCCTATCACCCCTCATTATCCCGGAAAATTCAATTTTCCTTGGAGAACAAGCTTTTCCGGGTAAAATCGGTTTTTCCGAAAAATTGAAGGGTAATGGACAAAAACGGAGGTCATATTCAGATTTACCGCCTAAAAATACATAAGAATAACCTAATCTCGACCGACAGACATTTTTGTTATTATTTTTATACATGTCAAAATAGGGTGGAAAAAATCTTCAATCTTAGAAGCGCCAGAAATTACATTTGAAGTTAAGTTTCTCGGTCAGGATGTTAATATTTTGTTTAACTAAGATGTAAAATGAAATCAGCGACCCAAAAATCATAGATCCAACACCTTTTATGGCGGTGCAGTGCATTTTCGAATAAAGTTCCGTTAAATCCAGTCTGTGGACCATAGTGCGACACCGTCATTCAAGCAAAACTGATCAAAGCTGGTGATGTTTCTCTAGAAGATACTGTAGAGCGTTTAAGGATTGCGGAAATCACGAGACGCCAAACCTCTGAAGCCCTCGCCAAACCGCAAGAAGTTGCTGCGGTAGAAGCTCAAAAACCTGTGTATCGCAAGTCGTACCCTAAGTCTCCAAAGCCTGGTACAAAGTATCAACCCAAGACGCAAACCCCGGATCAACAGTCTCACGCTACAGGTGAACTCAAGAAGATCGATTGTAAATGGTGTGGCAAGCAACATGTGCGGGATAAGTCGCTGTGTCCAGCCCAAGGCAAGACGTGTACCCGCTGTAAAAAGCTGAATCATCTGGCAGAAGTTTGCAGAAGTAAACAAGTTGCGGAAGTTCGAGTAGAGCCAAGCAGTGCATCGAGTTCTCAGAACAGTGACTTTGAGGAGTACTATTGCAGTGACGTCAGCCTCATAGAGACTATCAGTGCAAGAGCCCCGATCCAGTGCAGTGCGGAGTCAGTCGCCTCGAGTAATACAGGTTGGCTACACAGTCTTAAAGTGAATAATATTGTAATTAATTTCAAGCTAGATACTGGCGCTTGTGTTAATATTTTGCCAATGTATTTATTCAAAAAAATCTGTGTCCAGGAAGCTAAACTCGGGCATCCGGAAATCCGTTTGAATAAGGAAATGTGTAACTTAAAGGCGTACAATAATACTCCCATTGAGATAAATGGATCCACAGTGTTAAAGGTAAATCTTAACAACAATTGTTACTCTGAGAAATTCATAATAGTTAAAGATGATTTAACCCCAATTATAGGTTTAGACACCCTTGAAAGATTAGGTTTTATCAAAATGTCGTTAACCTCTAAAATGGGAATATCCGAAAGTGTTAATGCTATAAACGATGTTGCTAAAAAGCAGATTATTGAGAAATATATCAAGTGTTTCCAAGGTGTCGGAAAGTACAAAGATTTGTATGCGCTGAAAATCAAATCAAATGCAAACCCACCTGTCCCACAGCCACCAAATCGTGTACCTCTGAAACGGCAGGGAGCTCTGAAAGAGGAATTAGATAGGTTAGTTCAAATTGATATTCTTGGTGTCGCCCGCGAACCGTCCGAATGGGTCAACAAGTTGGTTATTGTTGAAAAAACTGACAAATCCTTACGTTTATGTCTAGACCCTCAAAAGCTCAATGAAGTTTTGCTTAGAGATTACTTTGAAATCCCTACACCAGAACAGATTTTTGCAAGAGTTAAAGGCTCTAAATTTTTCTCGGTGTTAGATTTAAAAGATTCATTCTGGCACATCGCTCTAACCCCTGACAGTTACAAGTACACACATTTTGCAACAATGTATGGTTGTTATTATTTTAAGCGTTTACCCTTTGGTTTAAATGTATCTGCCGAAATATCACAAAGATATAATAGTAAAGCCTTTGGTGATATTCCCGGAGTTGAAGTGTTCATTGATGATATTTTAATACATACTGCTACAGACGAAGAACATGACAAAGTAGTAGATCTAGTTTTTCAAAGAGCAGAGGAACAAAATGCCAAGTTCAATGTGAGAAAATTTATTTATAAACAACAACAGGTTAAATATGTCGGGCAGATGTTGATTGACGGTACGATTCAACCTGACCCAGAAAAGGTGCAAGCTCTTTTAGAGTATGACATCCCTAAATGTCAGAAAGATGTTAGACGTCTACTAGGTTTCGCTAATTATTTAAGGGACTATATCCCAAATTTTGCTGAGCTTACAAATCCTCTCAGACAATTAATTAAGAAAAATGTCCACTTCATATGGGAAGATAAAATTCATGGTGAGTGTGTCCAGAAATTGCTCAAAATTCTTACTAGCCATCCGGTTTTAGAAACCTATGACCCAAATAATTGTGTAACAATACAAACGGATAGTAGCAAATCTGGTATTGGATCAGTCCTAATGCAAAATAACAAGCCTGTTTGTTATGCCTCTAAATCTTTAACCAATGCTGAATTAAATTATGGTCAAATTGACAAGGAATTTTTAGCAATTCTGTTCAGCTGCAAGCGTTTCCATTATTATATATATGGTAAAAATGATGTAACTATCCAAACTGATCACAAACCACTTGTACCAATTATGAAAAAGCCCATTGATAAAATCACGTCTTCTCGTTTGAGAAGTATTAAGTTAAAACTTAGTTTGTACAATTTCAGACTTGTTTATGTGCCAGGGTCCAAATTGTTAATTGCTGATGCAATCAGTCGGGCTTGTTCTAATGCTGAAAATTACCCGGTTGATTCCGAATTGGATTTAGTCATTCACTCGATTAACATGTCAGATGAAAAATTAAACATATTTGTTCTGGAAACTGACAAGGATCCAATATTGTCCAAAATTAAAATGTACTGTTTAAAAGGCTGGCCAAAATCGTTGGCTAATATAGATCATGAGGTGAAAATATATTGTGACCTAAAAAGCGGTATTTGCGTAGAGAATAATTTAGTTTGTCTAGAGAATCGCATTGTTGTCCCACTTGCATTGCGAGAAGTGATTCTTAATGATGTTCACAGTTCAGGCCATTTTGGTATTGTTAAGACAAGAGCCAGAGCAAACACCTTATTTTTTTGGCCGGGCATGTCTGTCCAAATCGAAAACTTTGTTAAAAAATGTGAGGTTTGTGAAAAATTTTCGCGCAAAGAACCGAAGCAGCCTTTACTTCAGGAACCTCCGCAAACACTGCCTTTCCATAAGGTCGCCTCAGATATTTTAGAGTTCTCAGCATCCAATTATTTGGTCCTTACCCACATAGCACAGAATATTGATATAATACTACAATAGTACTGACACGTCAGTAGTGTCAGTATTTATAAAATGCTGATGTATCCTGATTTAATATTATATCAAGACTATGCCAGTATTTATTAGTTACTGATTTGGAGCTGTCAAAATATTGTTACAGTATTGGCCGAAAAGGTTGATTTCATATGGAAATCAGGGTTATGACAAGGTCATCAGAACACTGCAGGACACCGACAATATGTATGCATCACTACCTTGACACTGACACGTCTGTACACTCAACGCACTCTGTCAAGTAGATATGAAAGTTCAGACGATGACCGTCATTTTCATAGTACTACACATGTATTACATTTGAAACATGAATTACACAAGTATACAAGTATTGAATATTATAAACCACTTACTTGATGTCCTGCGACGTTTAGTAGCGTAAAATACCCGGACGCCCTCAGGTGGATTTGAACCCGAACCGCGGAATTCCTAGCCCAGTATTCTGCCATTGAGCCACAAGGAGCTGATGGTGTTCCGGGTTAAAATCACGCCTGTCAGGCTGTTATAGCATGCATAGCATCAGTGCGCGGCTCGACTTTCATCATAACTTTGATTAACACCGTGTTTTCTTAGGCTTCTTTTTCTTCCTATATTTTTTTTTCATTTTTTCGTGTTAATTTCTTTTCGTGTTATTTTTTTTTACCTCGTCAGCATTGACTCGATACTGTTGTTTGATATATTGAAGGTATCAGTGTTATATTCATGCTGACGCGGCATACCTTTTAACCGACAATCTTAATATCATACTGCATTAGTGTTGATGATATCATGTCAACATCCAACAATATGTATCAGTATTGACATAAGATTCTGTGCTATGTGGGTATTGACTACTACTCTAAATGGATCGAGCTAATAAAACTTCCTTCAAAAACAGCTCAAGCTGTTATACATGTACTAAAACCAATTTTTGCAACTCATGGCATTCCAACTATCTTTAGAGCGGACAATATGCCGTATGATTCTATGGAGTTTCGAGACTTCAGTTATAGCTATGATTTTAAACTTGTTACCAGCTCACCCCTGTACCCCAAAAGTAATGGACTAGCCGAAAAGGCAGTAGGTATTTGCAAACAAATGCTAAAAAAAGCACAAGATTTAGAGTTAGACATCTACACTTTGTTAATGGAATACCGGAACACACCAGTTCTGAATTCAAAATTTTCTCCAACCCAACTGTTATTTAGCCGTCTAACAAAAACCACCCTCCCCATTTCGGATAGACTCCTAGAACCGAAAATTGTTCAAAATTTCCAACAAATCCAAAAACAAACTGATGTTCGTAACAAAAGGAACTACGACAAAAATGTATCCCACAACAATGAAAAATTTTTTGAACCCAATCAAAACATAGCTCTTCATGATGGTACCAAATGGGGTCCAGCAAAAATTATCAAACCTTCAGGCGAGCCTCGCTCCTATTTAATAGAAGAGCCGAATAATTCCATTAAGAGAAGGAACACAAGTTTTCTAAAGATATCCTCGGCTACGCGCTCAGAGCCAGCTGCTCCGCCCTCTCATATTAATGCACCTCGCCCTAAGCGGGAAATAAAGAAACCATGCACGCTCAAAGATTTTGACCTCAAGTAGAAACTTTAATCATTATGTAAAATTTTTTTTTTTTTTTCGGTCAAAGGGTGAGAGATATTTGTTTAGCATCTAGTTTTAGTTAGTTTTATTTTCAAGAGAAAAGGGAGATGTATTGTCCCGTCTCGTGTCGCCCCCTAGCGGCGAAGAACGGAACCTCGCAGTGTGTGCGCATCGTTCATCGTGGTTCATATGTCGCGATCCGATCATGTTCGATTTGTCTGAATAAACCATGTTTCTTTGCACAGTCAATCAGTCATTTGTCATTGTCATTGTTTTTCATCACACTCAACATTACACAAAATTATGATGGTTTGATGAAGAAAGTGCGGGTCAGGTTGATAGAAAGTTCCCAAAGTCTGTTTCATATGTATGCATGAAATAAAATTTGAGAACCTCCTCATGGAGGTAACCCTCTTCATGGCTGCCGGATGTATACAGGAAAACTAAAAGGGGTGTAAATGAGCCCGATGCGTCAAAGAAGAATGTTGATACCTTGGATGTGGCTTGAGACAACTAAGGAACGAAGGAAAGAAGACCGATTTTAGTGATAGGACGCCATGACAGTAGTGTTGAGGGGGGCCGCTTCCGCAGGAGCCTGGGCGGCTGCGCGCACATAGTTGCCATATCGACATGTTCCTTTGTTTTAAAAAAAAATTGCTTGCGTTAAAACTACTTAATTAGATAAGATTTATGTAACAACTCATCAATAGAACACATAATACTTAAAGTATTTAACATCCTTTAACACTTACATTGATAATAATACCTAATGACTTTAATATACTAAATTACAAAAATGTTAAGTTTATTATTTCAATCAAATAATTCCAAATATAAAATGGGAGATGCTGAAATTTAATGTTAATTTTTTTGGTATTCTTTGATGTATAGACGAGTCCGTCTATACTGATTACCTGCTGATTCTGTTTGCACAATGTATGAGTTTGGTTCTTTGCATTTACTTACAATTTTAGTATGTTGCCATACATCTTTAGGAGTTGTCTTAAAATATACCTTCTCATTTACTTTGAGTTGGGCCGCTGCTGAGTAAAATCGAGAAGAGACGTCTGGCCAGATGAAAACTGAAAGTCGGTCATCACGTCCGGATCTCCAGACTCAAAGCCATGTTCGAGAAAAGATACACACCAAACTGGAGCACGGAAATTTTCAAGATTGTAAGCGTTAATCTGACCGTTCCGATCACGTACGATCTGAAAGACGCGCACGATACGATTGTGGCGCCAAGGACCTTGGCATTGGTACAACGATCTATACCATAGTTCGCTTTCTCTTTTTTAATGTCTCGACATATTTGTTGACATTCACTAGATTTGGTTGTAGATGTTCATAAGTGCTGGGTAATTTTGTTCGAGGATTACGTGACATTAGTAATAGACCGCTTTAAAGTTACGTCACATTTCGAGATATATCGCGATTTTAGGCCTGATGCCCTAACCGGTATTCAGTCGATTCGATTTACATAGTACATATTTCCCATAAGGAACGAAAAGCCGAATACATGGCGTAATAAAACACGCTTACGGCGTATTTTCAGATTTCAATAAACAGGTCCAAAGTGCAGGTCAGAGCTCCGTGATTATAATCAGCGCAATGGTATCAAAGCACATCTGCTCGCACTGATGAGGTGACAAGATTAATGCGGCGTTACCGCTTCATTTTATTAAAGGTCATTAGCGGGAGGAAATCGGAAACAGACTTGGGCTGCGGGAGGGAAGAAGATCCGGAGAATCACTTGAGAGGAGATACGATAAACGGAAAAAATTCGAACAGTTAAAATCGAATTTTGATCACGCTTAATTATGCAACCATCAAAACAGCATACTTCTTGTAGGGAATATTTTTTGACGGTTTTTGTGTGAGCGCAAACCGCACACTCACTCTCAAATAATTTCGGAGATAACGCTCTTTGAATGACAACTTTGCCCCCCCCCCCCTAGCTTGCTCCCTCCTAATTATTCGTGGGGGCAAAAGACATTGAATCACGTAGACCGTGCGTCCGGCTCGGTTTAGTACAGGCGGAGCGAAGCAAGTCTCTCGCAGCCCCATGATGGGCGGGCGGGGAAGGGGAGAGCGTGCCCCATAAGCACTCGAAGAGACTGCAAAGAGGCAGTGGAGAATTCATGCCCGCCAGTGGCGTGGCGTGAAAGATCGATTATCGATATATCGCCATTTGAAGCTATAGTAAAGAATCGATTACTAAGGTGTTCGCTGCGAATGCCCTGATAATCGATCTTTTTCCATAGGTTTAAATGGCATAACAATCGATATATCGCAATTCACGCCACGCCACTGATGCCCGCGCTCGGTTTTTCACGAATATCTCGTTTAGAGTCCATTTTCAGACAAAATTCCTAAGAAAAATAGTTTTAGAACGCATAATTTTACACCTGAATAGCATTCTTTCATTTTTCCGAACTAATTATTAAACGAGGAAAAAAGTCTTACAATCCGACGAAAATTCACTGGAGCCGCCACTGCGCATGCGCAGATGTGCGCAACTGGGACACACGAACTCATCGATGCGGGTCGGTGCCACCACTCATCGGCATGCGAATTTTTAAAAGTTGTCTCGCCTTCCGTAACACAGGACGCACGGTAGGGTGTGCCTTATTTTTGAGTTTTGCGAAGATCAAGTTGGTCAACCCCTAAAAAGTTTCTATGTAGTCTCTAAATGAACCCCCTAAAAGGAAAAAATTTTAAAAAAATTTTAACCCGTGCCTCAAAGGGCCTAAAGGGCCTAAACCCAAAATTCAAAAATTTTGGCAAGCGACACATCAATTCTGAAGGAAAATGGCAAGTTACGG